GACGAAACTTGGATCTTCCACGGGTTGTGGAATTGCGGCGAGATGTATTGCCTCGTGATTGAGAGCGGCCGCGAGAAGATGTCCTGTTGGTTGTTGACCTTGATCGTGAGGTCGATCTTAAAGTCGAGTTTTTGGTCTGTTTTTTGTTTTGCCGCATGGCAGGTGCGGCCTTTTGAAAATGCGAATTTTTGTTGCGACATTGGTTATAGGTATGTCCTTGGTGTTTCTTGGCCACAGTTTTGTTGTTAGTGTTGTTGTTGTTGTTGTTGCTATAGTTGTTGTTGTTGTTGCTCTTTTTTGGTCTCATTTTTGACTTATGTTTTGGTCTGGAGGTTGAGCGGGAGCGGGAGCGAGATTGGGAACGAGATCGGGACCTAGATGTAGTTTTTTTATCAAGGTCTCCGGTAGTTATTATGTTATGTTTTTTCATAAACGTTCCAATTTGGGCTTTAATTTTTTCATTTATTACTTCTCCCAAAGTTGCTTCGATTGGTTCTTTGTTCTTTTTTATTTTTCTTTGTCTGGCTTCTTCTTGCTTTTTTAGGGTGTTTCTTAGTACTAGCAAGCCTTCAGCATAGAGATCCTTAAATGTATCAGCTCCAGTAGCAAAGGCATTGGCATAGTTTGATACTTCGTAGGGAAAATCTTCTGACATACTTATTTCATCTTTTTGAATTTCTATCCCATTTAAGTAGTTTTTTAATTCGTCGATGTGTTTGTTGTATAGTTTGGTTGTATGTTCAAATAGATTGTTATAGTATTCGTTATTTAAAAGCAAAGTTTGTTGTCTTTCGAATTCAGTAAGGTCCAGTTTTGTAGCATCTTTTGGAAATTGAAATGTAGGTGTTTTTAGCCGTCTGGCTTTTTTAATGTTTTGTTCTTCAATTTCTTCTTTTAATTTGTCAAGTTCAACAAATTTATGCTTATATTTAATTAAATTATGCCAAAAATATTTAAACGGTTCTTGGCACATGTAGGGCAATTTGGGTAGAGCATAGTTAAGAAAATTTTTATAAGATGAGTGTAGCCATTGTTCATTAACACTATCCATAGTCACATCTGCATAGTTATCACCATCATCATCATCATCGTCATCGTCATTATTTTCATCTTCTTCCCCTATTTGTACTTTCTTTCCTTTTTTATCTGGGTCACCTATCTTAGTAATATTAGAAATAGCAGTGTTAGTAGTTGATATAATGTTTTAACGACAATTTGGTTCTTATCTATTGCTTGGTTAAGAGCGATAGCTAGTGGTTCGTTTAGAGTAGAGTTAGGGTTGTTTAGTGATTCCGAACTTATTAGCATATCTATATTGTTGTCTTCAATATAATCTGCTTGTTCCAAGTAGAACGATTGTTGTTGTTGTTGTTGCATTGTTGTTGTTGTTTTTGCTGTTGTTGCTGTTGTTGCTGTTGCTGTTTTTGATGTTGTTGCAATCGCTGTTGCTGTTGTAGGTGTTAGTAGAGTAGTAGTAGTAGTAGTGGTTGTTTGTTCGTTTGGATTTTCTGTATAATTTTCTTGTGGTGATGTTGGAAAATTTATATTTTCCGAATACCAACGGTTTCGAAATTGTTCGAGTGTTTCGTTAGGTTTTTTATATGTGTTATAGCGCTGTTTTAGGGTATAACTCATTGTTAACGAAGTTTATTGTTGATAGTTTTTATTACAAGAAAGTTTATGTAGAAAAAGAGGTTTTTATTAACTGCGAAAAGTCAATAGTATACTTTCGCTTTATTAAAAGCTCATCAGTTGATTACAAGAAGAATTTT